GTACAATGAATGAAGCCCGTGCACTGCAAACTTTCAACAATGCGCAGGAGCGATTGAACAGTTTTCTGAGAAACTACTCTCAAGGTGAGCGTTCATTATATTTTTTTAGTTGGATTCATATTACTTGGTCATTTTAATTTTTTATTAGATGCAAAACAGCTTTCGTCGGAAGTGGACGCGATTCTCTTCGATTTACCGGATAATTTGCTGGAAAACGCGTTATTTATTCTGTGTAGGGGACATGAGCGAAGTATCAGATGCGATCCGGTGATGAACATGAACTTGATAAGTGAGTATGGGCGATTTTCTTTATTTTTCCTTTTTATACTGAAGAAAGTGTTCGGGGCTCGGTGGAGCAGCTTCTAAATTCTGACAAATAATTATTTTGTTTAAGTGGACATTTCATTTCATGTCCAAAATATTTGTAAATTTCAGGTTTGATCCTCAATCGGTTGAAGTTTCACAAGTCTGCTAAACATCCAAGAATTCATCCGATTTCATCATCGCGCAAGAAGGATGTATTTGCTTTGTTTGCCGTGAAGCATTTTCAGCAAATAATTCGGTTGGTTTGTCTTGCGTTTTCTCTTCCGGACGAGAGGCTGTTGTCATTTTACGAATCGGAAGTCACAAGAATGATTCAAGATGAAGATTACTTATCGGTGAGTTTGAATACATTTTTTTTAATTGCTGAAACGACGATGATTTGTCTTATCTCCTTGGTTTCTTATGTAGGCTGTATATTGGACTACCGAATTGAACCTCCCCGAACGCCTGTATGAGCCGCTACTCTTACCAATAGGACTACATACGAACTTGGACATGATTTTAAAGAAGCTTCTTGACACGAGTGAAAGCTTGAGAATAAAGATAATTGAGCATTTGGACAAAATGGTCGATTTTCCACCCGGACGGTATTTACACGTGTGTGCGTAAGTGTTCGTTTCGACCTCCAAATCCTAATTTTCATAATACAGTATTTGTTGTCTCCTTGACTCGCCCGATGTCCAAATACGACGATATTGAGAGAATCAATAAAGCTTCTCAAGAAATGTCTTTCTATAGCAAGGCGTTTTAGCGTATGTATTGAGAGAAGGTATCTGTTGACCAGGTAAGTTTTTTTTTGTGGAGCATATCGCGGTAGGTTGGTCACTTTTTTCCGTCCGAGAGTTCACCTTTACAGTATTGAAAGAACGCATCTAACTGATCTAACCGTTGTTATATTTTCTTGTGCATTGATTCGTTTCAAGGACATTTTTGTGTTCCTCCGCGAACCAGGTTAACAAAGGAATCTTTGCATCTGTGATAGATTTTTAAATTGAAAGGGGAGCGATATCCACTTGACCTGTCATATCCATTCGAAATTTCACTTCATTAAAAAGAGGTCTACAGTGAGAATTTTTTAAACCGGAATCAAGTATATCCTTAATCCGTCCTCATCTTATCCATCACGATTCCGAGATCATGTTAAGTTTCTGAGCTAGCCTAAAATATTTTCAATGAAGTGCATTTTTGGGATATCGAAGCAGAGATTCAACCCATGCGAATTTCCAGCTAAAAGGCCGGAATAAGTTCTAAGTTGGTAAAATCCAGTTTGTGACTTTCACTTATATAAATCCTGTTCATTTTGTGGTTGCCTGAGGGATCAACAAATAAGGAAATGGAGAGAAACGAGACCGCTTCCTACTATGGGTGGCATGTGATTAAAAAAAATTGAGAAGACCCTGTCAGATATTAAAATGTTGAAAGTTATTTTTCAGGAAGTATGGAATAAGTAAGAAACAACTTCGTCAGAAAGGCAGCCTTACGAAAAGCATCCGAAGGTGGTGTACCTTGTATAGCCTTGATGAAGAGCGATATGCGCCTCACAGCTATGTCGACACTCGTCGTCAAGACCTGCGGTTTTTGGTCCATGCCACTTACCGTTCAAAAGCTTTGTGTGAGTATCAATCTTTTTTTGTGACCCACTTTTGTTTTTGTTGCTAAGATGTTAGTGTCCTGTGCATTAATTCAAAGGTACAGTATAAATAGTATCTTTGGTCCCGTCGATCTTCTGCGTAATTTCTGAGCATTTGCTTGATTCTTTGCGGTCTTGGCATTACCTACATAACTGATCAGTGTAAATTGTACTGTATGCGTATTACAGTAATGCAAGTGGACACTGTAAAAAAAATTCTCTCAATTACCCAGTTTTTCTGGTCCCGTGAATTTCGTCTACGACGATTTTCGCTTTATAAATAATTTTTTTAATTTGATCGTTGAGGATTCTCTCTCCATGTCATAAGGCTTTTCTACAACTAAATCCGAGGGATCTGAAGAAAACTTCGTTATTGAGAGGATTTCGTTGTAGTAAACCCCTATAACATGA